TTTGAATATTGTTTGATTTTTTTTTATTTTTTAGCATATCAAATTAGGCGTTAATGTAAAAAATGTAAAGTTCTCTTAGGCGTTATCTACAATTATTTATTATTATTATTTTTTTGTGTTGGCTTCTTTTCATTTTCTATATCTTGGAACGAATTCCTCTTATAACCTTGTTTGTACATAGTTTTTTTTACCTCTGGGGTTAGTTTGGTTAGCGTGAATTAGCGAGAAAGGAAAAGAAACAGAAATTTTTTAAAATTTTTAGCTGTTTGGTTAGCGTAAAAAGGAAAGTTTTGAGGAAAGTAATTTTCCGCAACTGCTTGATTTTACTCAAAATGTTTCTTCTATAAAACACGCGAAAATTTTAATTCCGCCTGAAAGTTATATCATTATATATTAATTTCCTTTTATACCCTTGTGAAAAATACTTCTTTTTGTTTCTTAATACTTACAAATTTTCTTACACAAATTAATACTCCTAAATTGATTACAACTCTTTTACTCTTGAAATTAAAATTCTTCGCTACACCTACAAAACAAAGTAAACTAATCTAATAACAAAGTCCTAATATAAAATGAAAACTTTCAAAAAAAAAAAAACTATATAAAGGGACACATACATATCTAGACATATATATTTATTTATAAATCCAATTATATGTATTATTTTATCACTATTATTATTATTATTATTATTAGATTCATAAGGGCAATTTAATTGTATATATTATTTTACTAATATTATTATTATTTAATTTTATATATTATTATTATTTTACTATTAAATTGATAAGGGTAATTTTGACATATAAAATCATTTTCCTTTCATTCCATTGCTATCCAAACTAATTAAACAACATTTTCTCACAAGTTTATTCAAAAAAATTATTGTTAACCAAATACATAATAGAAAACTAATTTTCTTTTCTTTTACTTCACTTTCCTTTTTTTTACTTTCTATCATCAATTTCTAGCTAACTAAACAGACCCTTGTAGAATTTGCTTTACTTACCCAAAAAAGAACTTAAAACAATAACTAGGAGTGTCCAACAAACTAAAAGCTCTAAATAACTATTCTTAACAATGTGCTAACTACTCTTTTACCCCTTACCCTAATTTTCTCTTTCTTTTATTTATTTGTTTCTTTTAAAAATAATAAAAATTAAAACTTTGTCATCAATTTCGTCTATCCACCTCTTGAATTAACCATCATTTAATAATATTTAATTAATCAATACCTTATTAGAATATCTATATTCAAATACGAGGGTATTCACTTTGTATAAAATAATGTCAAAAACTAGATATATATTCTTGGATTCATACATTCACCCAGCCCAATTAACAGAATTTAGTGTTATCCAGCCCAATTAACAGAATTTAGTGTTATCCAGCCCAATTAACAAAAATTTAGTGTTATTATCCATATTAGTAGTAAGAATACATATGCAACCAAAACGTGTGTACTTTTTTGGGGGACAAAAATGGTCAACCCAAAAACTTTCAACATTTATGATTCAATGAAGAACATTGTTCAATAATAGAAAGCAGCAAATTTTATTTGGTTTACTTTGCTTGTCATTCTATAATCATCATCAAATCATGTAAAGCAGTAGACTCTAAAAGTCTACACAGTTTTTATATATGCTGAAGCTCCAAGAATTAAGTTAGTTGGTGGTATGTGATGCCTATATGTATAAATCATCCAGTGGAGGTTAGATTGTGCATTCGACAAACAGATAAAGATTTGAGCATTGTCTCAGTTTCACTACACCACTATAACAATATAACTTTGGTATTGTTCATTCTTTCTTTGAACAAAAATGAGGGCAAGAGAGAGCATTCTCATTCTCCTAGTGTCCCTTGTTTTGCTTGGGGTAATAGGTAGGGTTTGTGAGGCAGATGGGACGCAGAGGAAGAACTTCCGTAAGAATAAATGCGATGACAACAGTAGGTCTTGCCATGAAAATGGAGACGGGGGAAATGGCGATGGGGGAAATGGAGATGGGAAAAATGGAGAAGGGGAAAACGGAGACGGGGAAAACGGAGATGGATTGAGGAAGAACTTCTATTGGAATAGATGCCCACAAGCTGAGAAGCTTGTGAGGGACATCATATGGAAAAAAGTTCAAAATGACCCTACTTTGGGTGCTAAACTGCTTAGAATGCACTTTCATGATTGCTTTGTTAAGGTATGTCCACATTATATAAATAAATGTTGTTCCCATGACTGATTCAAGCATGTGTCATGCATTACTTGCGCGCACACACACAACACTCACACATATTCAGATTCATTATCACATTCATGTTGTGTGATTGTGGTAGGGATGTGATGCATCTATACTGTTGGACAAAGTTGGGACTACCCAGTCAGAGAGAGATACAATTACTAATCTCACCCTGTCAGGTTTTGATGTACTTGATGATATAATAAGCTTCTTCATTACTAAAGGTATTATTATTATTATTATTATTTTCAGAAGGTAAAGATGAATTTATATATAAATGAGGTAATACAGTAGAGCAAGGCCAAGCCTTAACAAGGACACAACCCACGAAGTGTAGACGGTCCAATAAGCATGGAGACCAACAAGCAAAACATTCCTAGTCTAGGGATTGTAGACTACTCATGTCTAAGCCGATGTCATTCCGGTGCAAAGAAAATTAGGGCGAATCAAGGATAGCAGCGCCCTAACTCGATCCATCAGGTGGCTCCACCGACGGGCGATTGAAGGAGGCCGGAAGATTCCATTCAAGCACAATTCATCTTGCCAATGGTGAGTCCCGTACCTGCTTCGAAAGAAGTTTCTACTTTATCATATCTGTTATTTGATTGAGGAGCACTGATTAATTGAAGCTTTGGTTTTTAAACACTCTGTTTATTCTCTCCATCCGGATCCTATTGATGGTAGTTGAGAGTATAAGCTTGTTCACCGAGTTTCTCAGACTTCTGCTCACCCAACGCTCTAAAGCCCACTTTATGAAACCGGAGAAAGTAAATTACACTTGTATTGTAGGAAGATCCATAAGGGCCTTGTGAAGGTGCACGCGAAAAATAGGTGATTATGCGATTCATTCATTAGATTGCGGAATAGACAGAGTTTTGGGCCAGGCACATCTCGCATGCTACTTCTATCAAGTGTGGGGCATCAGTTTTGCACAATAAGCCACAACAAAAAATTACATCTTGGCACCAAAAATGGGTTCCAAAGAAGAGTATGCCAGTGCTTTGGTGGGTGGTTCATCTCAAGCCACCCAACAGTGTGACTCAGAGAAAATGAGCCCGAGGCGGAGGGGATCCATCCAACTGAATCCAATGAAGTGGTCGGCGAGCAAATGCTACTAACCTCAGGGATGTGCTCAATTAATGTGGCTGGAAAGGACCATGCTCCATCTGAAGCAAGAGATGAGAGTCTATGCCCTGGCAAAATTGGAGAGTTGAGTCTGACTTTATCAGGGATTCTTGAAAGTGAGAGGTCCACCCGGTAGCCAATTATCTTCCCAAAAGTAGGTAAGATCTCCACTGCCAACCCTAACTCTAATTAGGTTCCTCGTAGTCCCCCTAAGCTGTAGAACTCTCTTCCAATTGCTTGAGTAATTCTGTGGGATGCCAATAGTCCAAAAGCATTTATCCCTAATTAGTTGAATTCTTACCCACTGTGCCTAGAGGTTGTCTCTTCTATTAAAGATGAGAGTCCAAATGTGTTTAAGAGATGCCGCATAGTTTGCAACTTCCAAATTTCTAAATCCAAGACCCCCACACTCCTTAGGTTAGCAGACTTTATCCCATGCGACTTTTGCTCCAGAGTGCTTAAATTCTGTTCCAGTCCATAAGAAATTTTTTAACAGCTTGTTGACCTCAGTTAGGACTGATTTGGGGATTACAAATATGCTAGACCAGTAGTTGATCATGCTATAAAGCACTGACTGAATGAGTTGAATTCTGCCCGCATAAGATAGGAAGTTAGAAGACCAGTGACAAATTCTTCTAGTGATGTTCTCCACCAATCCCCAACAATCAGTAGTCCTAAGCCAAGTAGAAATTAAGGGTACCCCTAGGTATTTGAAAGGCAGCGAACCCTGGTCAAACCCCAACAAATATCTAATCTCTTCAAAAAGGGGGGAACCAATTCCAGAAACAAAAAATTGGCTTTTGGAGCAGTTGATCTTCAGTCCCGAAAGGAAGGAGAAGTGGTTGATAGCACGCTTGAGTGTAGAGATGGAGGCAATGTCCCCATGTGAGAATAGTAGGAGGTCGTCAGCAAAGATGAGGTATAGTCAGTTTCTTGCACCTTGAGTGGAATTTGAAGGCTTGATTTTCAGTAATAAATTTCTTGGTAATGGATGAGAACACCTGCATAGCCACCATAAATGGGAGGGGGGAGATGGGGTCCCCCTGCCTTAGGCCTTTAACCCCCTTAAAATGTCCATAGAAAACCCAAGAGGGATAGGGTTTCCAAAATGAAGTCCCAGCCAACAAAATCAAACGCTTTCATGAAGTCCACTTTTAAAGCACATCTGGGAGGAGATAGGTGCCTGTGATAACCATGTAGAAGCTCTTAAGCCAGCAGCACACTGTCCACCATGTCGATGATGGAAGGTAGCACTGGTTTAAGCTTGTTTGCCGCAGTTTAGCAATACATTTATAAAGTGTGTTGCAATAAGAGATTGGTCTGAAGTCATTTAGTGTTGTGGGATTAGGAGTTTTTGGGACTAAGGCAATATATGAGTTACTTACCTCTTTAAGAAGCCTATCATTAATAAAGAAGGTTCAAATGGCCTTAATCACATCATTCCACTACAACAGTTTTGGCTTTTACCAGCGCTCAAAAACGTTGGTAAAAGCCTTAAAAAGTGCTGGTAATTCACTTACCAACACTTCTGAAAAAGCGCTGGTAAATTCAATGTCGGTAGGGCTTTACCAGCGCTTTTGGAGAAGCGCTAGTAAAGGCCTTTTACCAACGCTTCTCCAAAAGCACCGGTAAAGGGTTATTTGAAAATTTTTTTTTTTTTTTTTATTTTTTATTTTCCCCTATGCCCAGCACTTCTTAAAAGAGTGCTGGTAAAATTATTTACATTTTTTATTTTCCATTATTGTTTTTGGAAAAAAATTTCTTTACGGCTACTAAATGCATCCTAACACAAGTCAATATAAAAATACCATCCAAATTGTTTTTACAAACAACCACAAGCTAACCCTGCCAATATGAAAAATACTATCAAAATTGGCTACTAATACCAACACAAGTTAAGCTAGTAAAAAATGTATACTAAAACAACCACAAGTTAACCTACCAATATGAAAATACCATCCAAATTGTCTAGATAAAGCTACTAAATGTCACACAAAAAGAATTAAGAAATTTTGACAAATGTAGTACAAGTTTTTCAAAAAGAATCCATCCAAGGTGAAGGAAATTCAAAAAGCATAGCCACGACCCCATCTTCAACTTCAACTTCAACTTCAACTTCAACTTCAACGAGTCTTCTTGCCCATTTGATTTGAATTACCCTACATTTTTTATAAAGTCATTAAGCGCACATTATAATAAATGAAAATTTAACATATATATAAGAGAAATTAAAAGTTCATAACCTTAATTGAATTGGCATCACGATTAGAAAATGAATTTGGGGATACTCTAGGAGGAGCATTTAAAGAATCAGAACACTTCAAAAGAACAAAACAAAATACATGAAATCTTGGCATAAGTAAACATATATTTAGTAAAGAGTAAAACTAATAATAAATATACCTATCCACTACAATTTTGTTGTTGCGTCTGCATTACATAGCCACCTGTTGTTGTAAATTTTTCAACTTGTCGTCGTAGTTGGCTCATAAATTTTCCAACTTATTGTCATAGTCGGCTTGCATTTTTGAAATCTTCTCCTACAACTCTACACGTGTAGCACGTGCCTCCTCCTGAGATTTTTTGGCATTATTAATCAGTTCAGCTTTACTAGGAGAGGGCCCCCAAACATCGCTTGGTGTAGGCCCGAAGCCAAGCATCCGCACACGACCAGTTCTCTCTTCTCCCCTCACAATGGAGAACAAATCATTGGAACTACCAATAGGTGAGTCAGAGTAACTTTTTTGAAGTTCTCTTATATTTTCTTGCCAAAAAAAAAACAAAGGTTTGAACTACCATGACATACTACTATGAAACATCCAGAACTGAAAACCCTAGATTCTAAATAAAGCACAAAAAAACTGAAATCCCAACAAGCTATGAACATGTAATGCTTAAATATACATGTGCATGTAATATATATATATATATATATATATATATATATACACACACACACCTAAGCTTTCAAGACAAAAACAAAAGGATTTAAATGAAGTAAATAGAGAAAAAAAAAAAAAATCAATTTTTTATCAAATTAATAGTTCTTTTAAATTTTTTATCAAATTAGTAGTTCTTTTAATAAATTATGCTGAAGTATACACTTAATAAAAATTGTAATCGAGTTGTTATAGAAGAGGAAAAATCAAATTAGTAGTCTTTTGAGGTACCAGACATTGTGCTGAAGTATACAATATGATTAAAGAAATTGCCAACTTATGAGTACTGTTGTTTATGTCTAAATTTGAATGTCCCATCTAATTGAAGAATCTTATATAGGTAATTGGACAAAAGACTTGGTGTGCAATTATTATTATAGGACACATAATTCTATGTCTTTTATTTAATTAGATTCACTAGGCAAAAGTTTTTGCACCTAATATTATATTTTACTTTTTCCCTAGGTTATCATTTGTAGTTTCCTGAGCATTTTCTGTCCTCAAATGGGTAAAAAATGTAGAAACCAAATTTTTACCTGAGTCTCTTGGTGAAGTTCTAACTGTTCTATTGTAGAACCATTGTCAACCTGCAAAGGGCATGTCACTTTTGTGCAATATTATTACGTGTAGGAAATTTGCTGCTCTGCAATTTAGAATACTGTTTCATTTCCATGTGAACTGTGGTTGCACGTTTCGAACTCTTTTTACCATTGCATCAAGTAACGGCCCCTAAATGGTTATTGCCATGTGTTATCAAGACTTGATGTTGTTTTATACTATGATGCCTTGAATATGACATGCATGCTAATTGTGTTATATATGGCCTGGTTCTTGGAGAACAACCGAAAACAGTTTCTGGACAACTATAAAAGATTAAAATTCAAATATATATATATATTTCTTTTTTATTAACTCGATTTTCAGAAAATTGTCAAACCAAGGTATTTTTCGCAATGTCTTTTGTTTCATATGCTTTAAAAAATCTTGGGTTGGTTAAGTTTGTGACTCTGGTCGACTAATCGGGTCAGAATCATTGCCCCAGCATTACAAATCCTGGGATGAGTAAGGGATAATGTTTCTTTCTCAATTGTTTTTCCAAGGGAGAGGTCAATTGATTCCTCTATTTAGTCCTAACTAGAAATTGTTTGGATTCTAGGCAAAACCCTTCTATGCTGTTATGGAGTTCTTCTGCTCTAATCCCTTCAAGTTTCTAAAAAAGAATCTGAATTGGATTAGAAATCTGCAGAGATTGAATCTGAAACAATTTTTATCAACATGCCAAGCTTTTTGAAGATGGAAATCTTTTCAGAACTGAAAAAAAAAAAAAAAAAAAAAAATATTCTGAATTGGATTAGAAATCTGCAAAAGATTGAATCTGAAACAATTTTTATCAACATGCCAAGCTTTTTGAAGATGGAAATCTTTTCAGAACTAAAAAAAAAAAAAAATAGAATCTGAATTGGATTAGAAATCTGCAGAGATTGAATCTGAAACAATTTTTATCAACATGCCAAGCTTTTTGAAGATGGAAATCTTTTCAAAACTGAAAAAAAAAAAAAAAAAAAGAATCTGAATTGGATTAGGAATCTGCAGAGATTGAATCTGAAACAATTTTTATCAACATGCCAAGCTTTTTGAAGATGGAAATCTTTTCAAAACTGAAAAAAAAAAAACGAAAAAAAAAAAAAAAAAAAAAAAAATCTAAATTGGATTAGAAATCTGCAGAGATTGAATCTGAAACAATTTTTATCAACATGCCAAGCTTTTTGAAGATGGAAATCTTTTCAGAACTGAAAAAAAAAAAAAAAAAAAAAAAAATCACAACAAGAACTTTATAGATCATGAACAAGTGTTTAGTGGCCTTTACATAACTTGCATATAATATTTGAAGTTGTCTACATTCAAAAGACCATTGCCACAATATATGAGTAACAAATTAACACAAACAACAAACAACAAATAGCAAATACTTCTCCTCCACAACACAAATCAATCAACAAGAAGCCTTCACATACAATGATCCCATACTCCCATGCCTTTCAACAAATACAAGAAAGTAAATTGCCTCCACATGGGCCGATGATTTAAAAATTGGTCACTTCAAGACACGTGACCCCCTAATACAGCGTAAAGAGTTCAAAAATTGGTCACTTCAAAGCACGTGACCCCCTTTTTGCAAAATGGAAGCATGAAAACTTACAATCATATCCGAAGCAGCAGCATCAATAGCTTTGCCATCCTTATTTACATGTGTACAGATGAATAAATCTGCACGAGAAAGCTAAATACCTTCGTCTTCCTCAATCTATAAAAGAAACATAGACATTGTGATATATATTATTTACCACTAACATTTATAATCATTCAACGACATAAGAATTGAAATAATTTATATTTTCCATAAAAACTTCAACTAACCTCAGCAGAAACACGTGCAAAGCTTTTTGTCCCTGTAGTATGCATCATTGTCTGCTTCCCACAACGTTCTTTATTTTTTTTGCTGACCTCCTACAAAAAGTGAGAAAAAGTAAACATTCTTTGAGTAAAGAACATTCCACCTAAAATAATGACAGAAAGCAGGTAAACTATAAATTCAACTCATTGACTTCAAAAAACATTGTGAAAGATGGAGGATTACCTTCGCCATAGGCGTACCCCAATGCCTAACCAAAAATTCCCAATGCTCCTTTTCAACATCAGGTGGTGGGTTTGCCAATCTTTCTTCATCTGTATTCCTAACCGAGTAGTATTCATTTTTTAATTCACACTTGTACCCCCTCCATTTTTTTCTGATGGAGGATAATATCCATTGTTTTGACATGGATCCCACATCATATTTTCCCTGAAAATGTGATAATTGCTGCATGTTAGTCCACTTTTTCCATAAAAATTATTTTAATTTTATTGAAGGGTTTTACCTTTACAATGTTCCACATATCCTCCTTCAGCCGTTTAGGCATCTCCCACCAAGTTTTGTAGCACAAAGGAACTAATTTACCCTTCCGGGCAAGTGTTCCCAAATAATTAGTATATGTACCACTTCTAGCACCGATCGGCTGCCCAAACTTATTAACCCTAAACAAAAATTAACAATTGTACATGTTTAGTACAAAAATAAAGATAGAAATCATATTTTCTCCTTCATATTGAATATAGTCTAATTATGTAAACTATATAAGATGATCTATATATATATGTACCTTAAAGGTAATAAGGTTTTCGCGTCTATTACATTCTTGCATTATGTCGGGCCCCGTCTCTTCTTCGGTGGTGGTTGGCATGATTTTGAAGTTGAAGCTTCGGTATTTTGTTCACTCACTTTTTCCACTTCACTAACCATTCGTTCCATTGTCAGCTTATTATTTATCCTTCCTAGAAAAGCAAACAAAAAAGTGAGAATTCAGTTAAGAGAATGCAATCAAATTGTTAAAAAAAGGCGGTCCAGGAAAAACCAATAAAAAGAAATAACAAATACCTCAAAACTTTAGGGTATTTATGATTGTCCAATGGAAATTATATAAAACCATTCTAATTAAAATTAGACCGTTCTGTGGTTTTGAATTATTTTTCTAAACCCAATTGTTAAGTATCCTAACCAATGCAACCAAACATCAAAATAGTCTTGCAGAGAGAAACTAAAACAATCCTAACCAAAGTCTGTATTATAAAAAATCTTATGTACAGTAAAAGATCAACTATATATATATACTAAGTACGAAAAATTCGTTTGGAAATAAAAGAAAAAAAATTTCAAACCAAAAATTCATTTCATAAAAGAAAAAAAAAAAAAAAACATTAAAAAAAGAAATTTGCTTATGGATTGGAACTTACTCAGAAATTGCTGAGAGATCGAGACAGAGGAGAGACAGCCTAAAGAGAAGCCTAGAGCTTCAACTTTGTAATCTCAGATGAGATAATGCCGAAAGAGAGACGGGTTAGCAAACATCAATCAAGTAATTCCACCAAGTTCAATGGAGGACAAAAATACGTATAAAAAAAAAAAAAAAAAAAAAAAGGTAAACATTTTTGCAAAAAGAAATCAATTTTCTGGACCATTATTCTAGAAATTTCTACAATAGAACTTGATTAATTTGGTATATAGAGGTAGATAATTGCATTACAAGAGTTTGATACACTCAGTCTATTTTAACCCCTAAAAAAGAAAAGGTCTCTGAAGATTATCTTGGAGCTCAAATAGAATTCTATATTAAATAAAAGATACATTTAACATTTGCTAAATTTTGCTTTTGAAGTTAAATATTTAGTGAATATAGAGAAGACATTTACTCAACTTAACAAACATTTCTCAACTAAGTCAATTAAGTAAATCCTATTTTCCAATCCTGTTTCATACAAGTTTAGAATTCATTTGCATCTTGTTAGTTCTCTTATTAAGTGGAAAAAATCAATATCAACAAGTATCACCATGGTCTAAATTAATGCAGGTCTAACTTGGGTTTTCATAAGCATCTCCATTATATCTTTACCGGTAGTAGACAATTTTTATTATTATTATTATTATTTTATTTTTTAATTCTGGTAAGAACATGGACACCAGCAAAAACAGAAACATAAAGCCAAAAACATGGACACCAGCAACAATGTCCCAACCATCCATCAAACATCTTCAGGAGCTTTATCATGGTATATCAATATCGATGCAATTCATAGAGTTGCACACCCCAATGAAAATTGGATTCACAGATTCACAGCCCCAATGAAAATTGGAAATACAGACCACATATGCATATCAAAACAGGGTTTTCAAAATCTCAACATACAAAACAAACATATATTGGCATTACAGTTATCACAGTCACAGCCCCAAAATAAATTTGAATTCAAAATACATGCAAGCATAGTCACAATTTTTCCAAAAGAATTGAACACAAAGCCATATATAGACCTACGTCAAAATGAAATCCCAAATTTCCTCATGAAAATCCAAAATCCCCAAATCAACATGTATCAAAACCTCCTTCAATTTTTTATTTTCAAACATGAACTCATATATTTATATATATATATATATATATATATATATAGGATGAGAAGAGGGAGACGACTTACCCGAGGGAGAAGAGAGGAAAAAGAGGAGAATCCGAGAGAGAGAAACCGAACTTCGGCCAGAGAATCGGCCGGAGAAGAAAACCGGGAGAGGAGAATCAGCGGCGAGACACGATCTTTCTCCTTGGTCAAGAATTGTCTGATTGTGTGCGCGAGGGTTTATGTTTGATCGTCTGATTGTGTGTGTGAGGGTTTATGCTGATCGTCTGATTGTGTGTGTGTCAAAGGGCTTTAACAGATGATGATAGGGGCAAACATCAATCAAGGTCTTGCTAAATGGATTGAGAAACAGCAGTGTCTTGCAGCTGAGAGATCGAGATAGAGATAGAGCACAGAGGGCAGCGGATGAAGTAGCCAAAATGAAATTGAATGAAAAGGGAAAGTGGAATAATCTGTAATTAAAAAACGACGTAGTTCAGGCACGAAATATATATACATAAATAAGGAGAGGGAAAAAGTGGAGGGAAGAAAAAAAATTGGAGGGAAGGGGGAAAAGATGTAGGGAATGGAAAGGGCAATATAAACGCTTCTCTTTTAAGCGCTGGTACTATTACCCCAATATCAGCACTTTTCTTCTAAGCGTTGGTACTATTACTCCAATACTAGCGCTTTTCTTTCAAGCGCTGGTATGTTACACCAATACCAGCGCTTTTTTCTTAAGCGTTGGTACTATTACCCCTATACTAGCGCTTCTCTTCTAAGCGCTAGTACTATTACACCAATACCAGCGCTTTTCTTTCAAACGCTGGTACGTTACCCCAATACCAGCGCTTTTTTCTTAAGCACTGGTACTATTACCCTATACCAACGCTTTTTTAAAAAGCGCTGGTATTACCTAATCTGTTGTAGTGTTCCCAATCACTGGCCACACCATCTGATAGAAATGGGCATTCAATCCATCTGGCCTCGGGGACTTTTCATTGTTAAGAAAGAGGAAGCATGACTGAATATTAATATCAGTTGAGATTGCACATAACATAGGGAGCAAGCAACTAGGTACCTAGCCCGAAATAAAAGGTTAGAGAGCCTGTCTCCCCAGGAAGTGAGGTGGAGAACTCTCTAGCAGACCATGAAAATGGGCAAGAACCTCAGCTCTAATCAGACTATCATTCACAATGGACTCTCCATTTGCTGTGGTAATGCACATAATCTTTTTTCTATTGATGTTAGAGTTATAGAGCTTGAAGAAAAATGCAGTATTACAATCAACCTCCTTCAACCACCTGACTCTTACTTTTTGCTTAATAAACTTCTTTTCAGTAAGAGCAAGTTCAGTGTACTGTTTCATAAGCCTTTTCTCCTCAGTCCTTAAGCACTCATCCTTAGGGTTTGAATCATGGAGCTGTTAGCATGATGAAAGATTCTGCCTTAACTGAGCAACCAGTGCAGTTGCTTGGGAAATCTCTACCCTACAACTCTGCCTTAGGAGTCCTTTAAAGGTTTCAAGCCTCTGTAACACTTGAAACATAGTGGCTTCCCTTATTGGAATAGCCCACGCTTGTTCCACAGCAGGTAGGAATTGGGGATTAGAGGACCAGGAGTTAAAGTATCTGAATGGGTTCTTCTTTTGAGCTATAGTTGCCTTGAGCTTGATTAGGATAGGGTTATGATCTGATATAATTGGCGGGAGAAACGTGCACTCTGACATTGGGAATGGTTGGGTCCACTTCTCATTAATTAGGGCTCTATCCAGCTTCTTAGCGATATTCGCATGCCCCATGCTCATATTGTTCTAAGTGAACTGTATTCCTGAAAATCTCAAGTCTTCAAGTTGTTAGTGCATCAAATAATCCTAAAAATCATTCATGGCCACTGTCCTTCTCTGAATACCCCCCCCCCCCCCATTTCTTAGTAGAATTAACAGTAACATTAAAGTCTCCAAGAACTATCCATGGTAAATCAGAGAACAGGGTGGAATGCTCATTAATGGACTCCCATAACTCCTTCCTATCTAAGTAAGTGTTGGCAGCGTAGACAAAAGAAGCATAAAACTGAGTGCTGTTAGGAAGGATTACTGAGCAATGAATTACTTGTCTTTATACATTAATCTGGGTCAGCATTAGCTTATATGGGCTCCACAATATCCATATCTTCCCAAGTATGAAGTAATCATAATTATACATAACCAGCCATCTATGGGCTATAAATCTATGAATTCCTCCCATATTTTCAGGAACAACTCTAGTTTCTAAGATAGCCAGCAAATCAAGCTTACAGGTGGATATAATATTACGTAGCTCTAGCTGCTTAGGGAGGCTGTTTGAGTCTCTAATGTTCCACGTTGCAAAATTCATTGAGAATATGCTTTGTGCTTACCCCTCAGAGGTCCTAGCCCCTTGTAAGGGAAGACATTCAAGTGCAGCCCACCAATATTACCCTTCCTTTTCTTGGAGTTGTTGCCTGTGTTCTTTGAAGTGGCAAAGCTTGACTGACTCAGAAAAGAAGAGGAAGCAGGCAGAGAGTGCTCTGAATCAGCTACTGTGCCAACTGAGTAGACAATACCCCCCATGTCAGGTAGAGTGCATTGATAACCATCATCTTGTGAAGTAGAGCAAATGTCCTTGATGCCGGAGTTATCCCCTTTAGTGAGTGACCTAGCCAACTGCTTGGTTTGAATTAATGAGATTCTCTTAGAGGGTGATGGGGATTCTAAACATGATTGTGGGACGGTAGGTGGTGAGCTAAGTAGAAGATTGGGAGGTGTAGGCATGGGGTTGGATTGAGGGACAGGGGTGGAATTAGACACAGGTGTCTGCCTTCTGTTCCTGTTCCTCCTAGGAGAGACTGTATTCCATTGGTTATGGATGGCTTGGGGAGGTTATGAATAGTGTATAAAGGACGGGCATGTGGATGATATGTGCCCAACCACCATACAAGTGGCGCAGAATCTAAGGATCCATTAGTATTCCACCAAGATGTCAACCATTCTTCCATCCCTCTTCCTTAGTGGCACCGAATGGACAGGTGGGAGATCTAAGTCAACCTCCACACAGATCCTTGCAAACCCTAATTTTTCTCTTCCATCTATGGCTTGGTCAACATGTAAAGGCTTACCCACGGCACTAGCAATGTGACTTAACCCCTTCGCTATCCAGAACTGAAAAGGTACTTTAAAAAACTTAACCCATACATGGACCAACTAACCCGTCCCTCTCCTCTGTGGCATCTAGGGTTGCCATTTATGCACCTGTAGTGTTTTGCCTGCAATAAAGTAAAAGAAGCTTTCCCCATCTGCATAAACATTCTTGAGTCCCCTACCGATCCAAAGTCTCATAGTTGTCTGCAGCACAATATTGAATGAAGGCTTCTTAAGGGCAAACCACCCAGCAAGTAGCCCCTCCAAAGAGGAACTTCCTTCATCCTCAACCTCACATGGAGGTTCAACAATAGAACCATTATCTGTTTTTGTTGGTTGGAAGTACTTAAAGGTCATTTTTTAGGAAGAAGGTGCAGGGGGTGCTTGCTGAACAACCTCAGCCCATGATCTGGCTAGAACTGAATGGCTCACTTGAGGGGGCAATTGCCCAATAGGTAAAGAGGATGCCTCCAAAGTAGCAGTCAATGTAGGCCCACAACCTAAAGGGAGAGCATGTGCAGGGACAGCATGGTTCAGACCATCAGTTTGTGGAATGACAGCATATGGGTTGTCAGTCCTAGGTCATATCAGCATGTTAATAGGCTCCCCCTACCTTGATGTGACACATTGATACGACCGAGCGTGTACACAAAATAATGCACATCACTTTAGGTTTAGAAATAATGTCAAGTGGGCATCATATTTTATAATTTATAAAACCACTAAACACTTATACTATGGAGTATGAAGCGAGTAGGGATCGTCCCAAGAGATCTAAACAATTATTGGTTTTCGGAATTGAATTCTACTTTAGTGCTTATGTGATTGCTAAAAAGGATTTTTTTTGTGATGAAAACTAATTTTAAACTAAATGATTGTAATAAAGAAATAGAGTTTGAAATATTGGAAAGAGACTTAGGGTGTAGGATTCACTACTAAATACATTCCCTAACTCACTAACTTTCAACTAATTGGGGAAATAATACTATGCAATCTATATGTGACTAACAATTGCAATAAAAAGTGCAAACCATCAATTTTAAGCACAACTAAGTGCACTGCAATTCACCAATTCAAAGCATGATACATCAATTCAAGTTACAAATTTAACACACATTAATCTAAAGGATATGTAATTCTAACAATAAGTATGGATTTCAAATAATTGTATAGATTGTCTACTTACCTAATAATTAAATTGCAATTAACTAATTTACCTTAAATTAAACTAACCAAACCTGAAATTAAGCTATTTAAAATATACGTTAACCTAATTGTGTAGTACAACCCATCTAATATAAGTAATTTCCATCAAATTAGAACACAATTACATCAAATTAATACAATACATAGCCATCACATGATTCAATTCACAAAGAAATCAAGTGTAAAGATCAATTATCATTCAAAAACATATAAGACAATATGAGATTGACAAAGATAATCAATTGAAAGAATTATTATATATATATCAAGGCTATAACAAAAATTACATAAATTAAATCCCCAAAATAGTAAAAGAGAGAAAAGTTAGGTTACATGCTTAGGGTTTATCCAACCCTAAGTTGAATAATTAGCCGCTCATGATTGATGGATTCAAGATGTCAACAAGCCCAATCCTTTGATTCATCTAGCTCCTCTTCTTCTTCTCTGAACTTTTCTCAAGAACCCTAGCTTTCCTCTCTTCCGTGTTTTCCAGAGAGAATATCGATATATTGATTATAGAAAAATAAAAAAAAAAAACAAAAACAAAAACAAAAACTTAATAAATAAATAATAAAAAAAACTCTCCCCCAAAACTAATGGGTATTGGTTTCCTTAAATAAGCCTTTTTGGAAACTGTTGGAAATCATATCCATAAGTTGACACAATGATTGTAGCAGATTTATTGGGTCTTCAATATAGGATAATATTTAG